TCCATTTCATATATCTCCTAGTTTCTATACGTATGCCTCTTCCATATGTATTCAGTGTTCTGGCTGTAGTTGGTTCTTTTCTTTTCAGCTTAAGCTCTACAAAGTTGGCGCGTCTCAGCTTTGCTTTGCTGTGCCACATGGGGTCAGAGGCCTCGCAGCTGAGGGGCGTGGGGGGCGGTAGGGGGCGTGGATTTTCGGACGTTTGTTTGACAGGTGTCGATGCAATATAAACGTGACTTTGACTTGACACTTTGATGCAATGTGGGCCAAGTCGATGCAGCAGCTGCGCGTTGCATGCAACATGGCGCGCGTACGTGACATGTGTGCAGGTAAAAATACAACAACAACAACAACAACAGCAACAAATGAAAGAAAAAGAAAAGCAAAAGATGGCAAAAGTGAAAAAGAGAGCGAAAGCCGTTAAGGAAGCGCCAAAGATGTTGCAACACGCGCCCCAGCAATGGGGCAAGCAACCAAGCAAGAGGCAGTAGGTGCGACTTGAGTTGCTAAGACGCCAAGTGGGTGGGCCAAGGGAGGCAAAGACAGGTACGACAGCCAGACAGACAGACAGAGGCAACTGTCACGTAATTAGCTTAGATTTTTCGCTTTGCCTCTTAGTTTTTTTCACATTTTTTTTTTTTTTTTCATTTCTTTGCCTTTCTGCTCAAATGTGTGTCAATATGACGTTAATAACATTAGGTAAAAGGCAATTGCTAAAAAAAAAACTCATATATATATATATATATAGATATATATGTACGTACGTATGGTGTCTATGTAATGCCTATAACAGTTTTTTGCTTCCGCAAAGCGCGTGAAGAAAAAAAAAATACAAAAATGCGAGTCGAACAAAAATTATAATACAAAATGACATTGCAAAAAAAAAAAAAATAAAAATAAAATAAATAAATAAAAAAAACAAACGGCACCCAAATCAACGCAACTGAAAAAAAATATATCAAAAAAATGCGGTATATAAAATATATATAATAAATTAGCTGAAAAGTCAAAGGAAATACCCTAAACAATAGTTACAACAAAAGTGGGCTGAATATAGTAGAGCAGTCTATATGTAACTGAAGATGTATAATAGATTATAAATAAGTATAAATATGTATAAATTATATAGGTAACTCAAAGTTAGGGTATATTGTATATAGATGCACATGTCTCTTAGTCTTGGCTTCAACTGTGTCTAGTTTCGCTTTAGATAGAATTACAGGCACTTGCTTCATTTTCAACATAAAGTCAAACTACCCTATATGCCAGACAGCCTGCATGTGCAGGGTATTGACAGCACAGCCTGAGGATATGCGCCAGCTATAATTGCGCTATACCCTGCAAATGCCATGCGAGGCATAGCCGACTGCACACACGGACACACAGCAACCAAGCACATGTATATGTGTGTCTGTGTGTGTGTGTGTGTGTGTGTGTGTGTGTGTGTGGGCCGTTGATTTGGCCAACGCCTAAGCGGATTTGCCGTCAACCGTTTCATTTTTGTTGTTTTTTTTTTTCAACAATTCAACAATTTTTTTCTAACGAATTAAATAACAAGAAAATTAAAAATAAAAAAAATTTGCATTGTGTTGGCAGCGGGCAGGGGCGTGGCAGCTGAAAAAGCCAAGTCTAGTGGAGTGAATTGGACTTGCCACCGATTGTCCAGATACACCCACACACACATATGTATGTATATACATATATATAGAGCGAGAGTGAGGGAGAGAAAGAGAGAGATATATATAATGCCTTTTTGTTGTTTTCAACTCAATCAAAATAAGAAACTGTCCACGCTGTTCCATTCAAAATCATATTTCAAAGACCGCGACGACAGCAACAACAACAACATCAGCAGCTACAACAACAACTGATTGTTGTCTTTTGGGGTTCAAGGTTCTCATGGACAACTTCCTCGTAGCCAACTAACTAGCCAAGCCGTGTCGTATATCTCCCTCGCTCGCTCTTTCTGCTTTTGGACAGTTGGCAATGATAGATCGCTGCCAAATGATTGTTGCAACAACAACAACAGCAACAGCAGCGGCAACAGCGGCAGCAACAGTTGCTCATAGAGATTTGTGTGTTGGTTACGTCGATCACCTGCTCGGGGCCCACTTTTGATCTTGGTTATAGAAACTTATGAATTTGATTGGAGTTGCTGTTGTTGTTGTTGTTTCTGTTATTTTTTCCATCTTCCATCTTCCTTTTCTGTTTTTTTTGGCAAATGCTAACGGTATTTCCATAATGCCATAGAAGGCGTTTTGTTTGCCAAAGTTTGTTGCCCGCTCTCGCTCGCTCAGGTGTGGGAAACGACCATGGCTAAAAGACCGATGAGATGAGATCACTGATCGATAGTCAGCATCAAGAGATACTTATGCGCATGTGCATGTGCATGTGCATGTGTGTGTGTGGGCATAACTGCAGATATGCAATTGGTAATTGATACGAGCTTGCCAGTCGGTGGGAATTCTCAGCTGCAGCCGAGCCAGCGTCAATGATCTGTGGGGCCATTTCTCACACAACTCTGGAAACACTTGGGGGTGGGGGCAAACATGGCTACGAAACAAAAAATAAACATCAACTCTATACAATGGGTTTTCTTATCACATCGTCTCTGATAGCAAACGACATTAGAGTTTTATTTCGAATTACAGTATCCGTTACAATATTCATATGTAAATAAATCGTGTTCCATAAAACAGTTTTCGAGTATGCGAGCGATATTGATCTGATCAAGCCAAATCAGTCTCCGTATTTCTTGAATCTGTAGTATTTGAATGTGTTAATAATGATAATGTTGATAATTTATGGCTAATGATGCTAATAAGAATGATAATTAAAAATGCAAAATTAATATAATTAAATAATAAGTTAATTTATCAACTTCCAAAAGTAGATCCCGAGTATGCGCGCGATATCTATCAGATCCATCCAAAAGAAGTAATCCAGATTTCTTGAATCTCTAGTATGTAGTGATGATGCTGTTAATAATTGATGGATTATGCTTATAATAATGATTAATGAAAAATGCTAAATTAAATATGTATATAAATTTATCGGATTCCAAAAAACAGTTCTCGAGTATATTTATATGATCGATCAAAAGGAATTAATTAGTCTCCCGATCTTTTGAATCTCTAGTAGGTATTAGTATAACTGATGGATTGTAATGATAATACTAATAATAATGATAATAAAAGAATGCAAAATTATAGATTAAAGAACAATGTTATCGATATTGGCAATGACTATAATAATGATGCAAGCTATAATCATGATTATGCTAACAGATCTAATAAAAGTGATACTAAGAACAATGAAAAGTGCCGTCATAATAATACTGTTTAAGCGTGATAATTATAATAATAATTATAATGATACTAATGCCGATGAGATGGACGAAATTGAAGATGATAATCGCCGGGATAATAATGACAAAAAAAATATTAATGAAATTGTTAGGAATGATAGTAATGAGAGTGCGGAAGCTGAATATGTTAATAAAAACTATAGCAAAAATGGTGGGGATAGCCAATATATAATGATAGTATCAATGCTGATGTTAATCACATTCAATAATGATTCGAATCTAGCTGGATGGTGACACTGATCAACAATTTGCCTAAAATAATACCCATGGTACTCAAACTGATGTTGGCATTATCAATAGTAGCGATCTTGAAATAGATAGAATATTCGTTTTCGAGTAATAAACTTGATAGCTGCAAATGAATAAAAAGAAAACGAGACGCTTTCAATTGCAGTTCGATTGTGTTCAAAAGTGTCTCTAGATACAACCTGAATGGGCTGATTCGTATCTATACTACATACAATATATACTAAGCCTAACTGTGCTCTACATAGCTAACAAGACAAAGTCGCCGCCGTCGCCAAAAAGAAACAACAACTAAACCAAAGTGAACTGGTTTCTCGTTTCGCTGATATTAGTTTGAGTTTGATTTTTTGTTGTTGTTTTTTTTTTCGACTCTTTTCCGAAAAGCCATAGCCAAAACGAATTTTGAATGTGGGTGAAGTTGTTAAAAAATGTGGCAAACGCAAGCGCAAACGCAATCGAGGCCAATCGCCCCGCGTCGGCTTCCAGAGCAACGGGGGGGAGAGCGAACCCTCGGCCTCGCCCTCTGTGGACCTGCCAAGCGCATATTTAGTTATAAACTTGAATTTAGACTCGGCCCAAAATTAGATAGACAGTTCGACTATGGGGCCGCGAAGAAAGACCGAAACGAGCGAGCGACTCGCCGCGAGACAGTTACAAATGTTGTCGCAATTGCCCAAAGAAGAGAGAGAGAGAGAGAGAGAGAGAGAGAGAGAGAGAGAGAGAGAGAGAGAGAGAGACAAAATAAACAAAACAAAACAAGAATGCGCGCCTTGGGAACGAAACGAGACGATATGGAATGGCATGAAACGGATGAGACCATATTGAACCGAACAAACGGCCCATAAACCATGCGCAGAGCAGCTCCCATTATGTTGACAATTGAGTTGATCTGCTGCGTGCTTCCTGTTATAGATTAACATATTACAGCGAGAGTTGGCATTAGCATGTGCCTGGTAAAGTGCATGTTAAATCGACTGCATGACTGTTGTGTGGGGCATCGAGTAGAAGGGAATCAGCTGAATAAACCTCTCATTTAGACATGAGCGTGTGCGTGATAAAGCGCATGTTAAATGGCCATTGGCTGGATTGCTATCTGAAGGAAAGGTAGATGGACTAAGAAGAAAAGGAAACAAGTTAGAGTGAGGTAAAGGCAGAACGACGGTAGGAGTTATAAAGAAGCAAAGAATCGAAAAATATAAGGACAATTGAGAAGGCGAGGTAATTAGGGTGACAGAGAAGAGAGTGAGAGATAAATGGGATAAGGGGTCCAAGCCCCCTCTCTTTATCATCTCTCTCTCTCTCTCTGGGCTTCTCGCTCCCCGCGAGGAGAAGGAAAGAACAGCAAAGGGAAAGATAAAGATCCAGCTGTATAGGTAAGTGTCTGGCAAAGTTCATGTTAAGCCTTAAATTATCTCTTAGCGAGCGTTAAGCATATGCAGGGAGAGTGAGGCTCAGAGAGAGGGAGAGAGAGAGTGAGGGAGAGAGAGAGCGAGAGAGTTTATCTTACCAGTTACCTGGTAAAGTGCACGGCTTTAACTTGAAGCATTCTTCCGTGAATTTGTAGGGCTTTTTCTGGCCAATCTAATAGCTCAGCTCCAACCAATTGTTAGCATTGCCATATATGTACAACATTTATCCGATGGCCTGAGCTTCCTGGTAAACGATGGCTGACTAATAAGCAGTTGAGCAAATGCAATTAACTTGGGCAACATGCTAAATTATTATAAAGAAACAACAGAGAAAACTTAATAATCGAATTGGCAACTCGAACAGAAATGTGAGACAAAACGCGCCCAAAATAGGTAAACACTTGGCTACAACTTGGCTAAATATGTGCCTGCCATAATCTGAGTGAGATCTGGGCAGATCGGCCGCTCGGCCGCTCGGCCGCCGTGCGGTTAGGAATGGGGGAGTGGGAGATAATCGTGCCAATTGCCGGGTCTCGTCTATTTGGCTATTTGTCCAGTTTTGGGCACAGATCGCTGAGGCAAAAGCAAAAGCAAAAGCAAAAGCATTTCAATGCTTGCCAAGTCAAATACGAGCATATGTAAATATTAATTTTATTAAACAAACGTGACGCGAACTCTTTTTTAAACGTTGACACGACAATTGCAACCCACACACACACACACACAGACACACATTAACACAAACACACACGCTACTTAGATTAAACAGTGCGCGCTTTTCATATTTGGCTTTTCAATTCACAATATTTATGCCATGCAAAACTGTTGTTTATTGTAACTGTTATAGGCGACACACACACATATACGCATACACGCAGAGTCAGTGTGACATCGTACCGGCCTATGGCTACGTGCAGTCCATCAATGAGACGCATCCAAATGCGTGGGAAACGGCGCCGGCCTTGCTTTGAAGTTTAGCTTGAAAGGCGATTTTGTTTTTGCGGAATTTCAAAGGCAACAGCAACTGTGCACACTCATCGCACACACACACACACACACACACACAGGCGCACTCACATAAATTGCACGGATGCGGGCTAGTGAAAGCTGCTGACAAGTGTGACCCTGCCTAGCGCATTGCGCATTTGACGTTCGTATGCACGCTCACGCACTCACGCACGCAAGCGCACGACCGATGTATGCATGTATGTATGTGCATGCAGTGTGACCCTGCTATGTGCAAGCAATTAAAACCAAAACAAATCGGAAAACGAACAATCAAAACAAAAGCGCGCTAGAACGTTCGCGGCAAATAAGGCTAAATAACATAATTATAGCAATTAATGAAGCCGTATATACATACATACATACATATATAAATATATATGTACATGCGCATGTGTGATTAACTAATATATCTAATAATAATTGGTGTGTTGCAATATCTGTGAAATTCTTAGTTGTCAATGCCAAATGTAACAGACGAAAGCCAATATACAGTGCGCCAATTAAGTCTTCGTACAGCAACAATTCGTTTCTTGGGGAGCCCATAAAGCGGATACATACATAGGTAAAAGAAATCGTCGGGTATGAATGAATATATTCAAATGAATTTATTAATTAATCTAATTTAACTTCAGCTGTTGATATTGAGCTGAGGCAAAAAGTATTTTTTTTTTTCTTATTGTTGCTACAACTAAAAGCTCATGTATATATTCCGCATGTCAACCAGCAATATTCCCACACTTACTCTATGTACAGGGCATAATCAAAAACAAATTTACTCATATTTACTTAGCTTTTCGCATAGATCCAAGTCAACATGCCCGTTTACCCATGGATCTATGTACATACATATGTCAATATACCCGCTTACACATGGCGCACAGTGTATTCTGAATCATCGGCAACAACAATTGGCGCATTTCGTAGGCGACGCTCAACGACTTTTGGACTTCCTTTTTTGTGGGGCGGCCGCCACATGATTGTCGCCATTGAGACTGCACGACAACGGCAACGGCAACGTGACGCATGAGCATGGGGCAGCAATAAAGGCGGCAACAACAACAACAACAAAAGTAGCAGCAGCAGCAACAGCAGCAACAATAACAACTGCAACTGCATCACGCTGACAGCTAGTTGTAGGGGGTGACGCTCTTTAACCTTTAGAAATCGCCTCCACTCCACTCCACCCCATCCACCACCTCTCCCAGAGGCATTGCGCCTTTGCATTGGTTTTGGTCTATTTTGGACTCGGCGACAAATATAGAGCGCAATCCCTAAGACGAATGACCGTTAATGGAGACATTTGTGTGGCTGCCATGCCAGAGTGGAGGGGGGTTGAGGCTTCAGCTATTTATAGCTCCCACACACTCACACACATACGTGCAGCTAGCGACGATCTTGATCTTAGGCAGCGGCACATGCCACAAGCAGCGATTCCGCTCTATAACAATGGCCCACAGTGAACAATGGCTAAAACGAATAAAAAACAACAACAACAACAACAGCAACAACAACAAAACGCCAAAACAAAAGCGAATTTTCAGTGGCACAGAGGCGGCCACTTACAAGAACTTTAACACGCCAGAGTTCAAATTAGTCAGCAGACACTCCATAAATCAGACAACGGAAAACAATCATAAAGAGCCGCTGCTGCTGCTCTCTGGACCTGAGTGGACCAATAGCCAGGCAGGCAGCCAGCCAGGCAGCCAGGCAGCCAGCTGGCTTCAGCAACTGGACAAGCGGGTTGCGTTTGGCCGCCCGCTGCTTGAGAGTGCTCTGGGTCGAGGCATTAGCATACAATTTGTGTGGCAACTTGTTGTTGTCGTGCCATTGACAGCAATAAATAATAAAATTGCATTGCAATGCACTTTGCCAGGCGGATAAATTGCCAGCCACTAAATCGCCAAAGCAATGAATCAGACTAACTTCGGCTGTGGATAGGATCGATGGGAAGAAAAGCAAATATAAGAATGAGACGAAGACTCTTTGAGCGTTTTTCCCATTTACTTTGCAATGATGATTGCCAAGCGGGTAAATGGTAAAGCTGTGAACTATTAGATCAATATCTATACATAATTAAGTACCTTCCTATATTCCAGATTTATTTTGCAATCAACTGTGATGTTTGCCAGGCAGATAAATGCCTAAGAAGATGCAGCGAACAAAAAGAAGAAGGGTAGAATGGCAGAATGATAGTTCCTCAATTACTTGACTTCGCATTTTACTTATTTACAACTTCAGAGTCGACTATATTCCAGAATCACTTTGCAAGGCACTTTGTCAGGCGGATAAAAGGCGGCTATGGTAAGCAATGTAAGATACGAAATTTGGTCACACGTCTCATGTAACTTACGTAGCATACGCGAGTCTTGTAAGCCATGTTTATAGGGTGGCATGGACATAAGAAATAATACGAAATAAATAAAAAATAGTTGCCATGCTTTAGCGACTGTTTGCTGCTGTTGCTCAGTGTCGTACAAATTGCACCGTTAATAAAGTCAAAATCGGATTGGACATGCCTCGGCCGACGCCTGGCCCCAACTGGAGTCCAAGTGGAGCTCAGCTGCGCGCCCGTTGCGAAGCAGTTGGTCCATTCCGTGCACAGATGCAGTTGGATATTTGATCTGTTGACAAAAAAAAAAAAAAACCAAAAAAAAACAAATGCCAAACAATAAATTGGCACTAATGAATTTGATTCATTTCGATTGCCTTCGGCAATAACTAAATCAACATTTCGGATCTCTATCTCTAGCTCCAGCTCTATCTGTATCTCAGGCTGCATATGTATCTGTATCTCAGCTGACAGTTGTCATAAGGCACAAGTGACCCATATGTGTCAGACGGTAGGCAAAGGCGTGCCACTCACTGGAGGATAGAAAACCACGTAAGAACATTACCAAAGAGCTTATCCGACTACACAGCACACGCTCACGTCCATTGGCAGAGCAGATCAAGAGAACTTGCTAATGCCAGCCCCAAAGTAGTCTCACATGCCAGCGAAGCCAATATGCTCGTCTCATTGGAGCGTGAGCGGGTATTAAAAACATAACTATGTGCATATCTTGATAAATTGTACAAAACTGCGAATTGTAGCTACAAGCTCGTTCGCTAGATCTATCAAATTGAACAAGTCAACAATTTGGAATGTGCCGAAAGCACTACAAAAATATGTCCTTCAAATAGATCAGAAAAATAATAATAAATGCAAAATACTTTAATACAAGCTGTACATAAATTACGCTTTTGATTTGATTAGATTAGTTAGTTTATTAAATTAAATGCGCTCAAGCGGAATATTATTCAAACTATGATAATGAGAGTTATATAATATAGATGAGAGATATTGATGAAGTAAGAGTGGAATATATAAGATGTATAGTAAAAGTAATATCTGTATACAGTTAATATTAAATCATCTTATATAAAATAAAATTCTTAGAGTAGTATAAGAATGATACGTATTTTTGATCAGATACTTTTCTGGGGTCTATACGAATATACAAATAAATCACAGAGCCAATACTCTATATATATAACATATATATTCCAATTTTTTTTAAAGCCAAATTCAGATATGACATGATAATATACATTGAAGCCCAACATTGCGAAATAGATCTTTTCCTATAAGTAAAGCCTCACAAATGAGATACAAATCAATTGTTCAGACAGCTGAATACTGATTAGAGGGTAACTATGAATTGAGTATACTGAAGTCCATTAAAGCGACGATTCATTCAAGTTTCTCTTATGTAAATATTATCAATAAGATCGATCTTAAAGATCTACAACATGAGGGTTCTAAGAAACTGTTTATGCATGCGAATGAATGGACTTAAAATATTATATATGCTTAGCAAGCGATATGTTCTAGTTGTAATTCAAATATACATAGACACACATATATACATATACATACATATGTACACTTAGGATCAATGATCAACTGGAATTGCATTGTGCCACGTCCAGACAGTGAGCTGCGAAAAATTTCCCAATAACTTTTTGGCCACTTGGTATGCATGTCAAAGCCAATAAATGTGGAAGGCAAAGACAAGAGCCAAGAGCCAAGAGTCGACAGACAAGAGAGGTGGCGTCCAGAGCACTGTCCGGGTCTCAATTAAGAAGCCAACGACCGAAGTTGGACTATTAAATTGAATGGACTCACGAAGTGTTGAGCCCAACAAGTCACGAACAACAAATGCGATCGACTGATCAGCCGACCGATCAAGAATCACAATTCTCAGCTAATATCAAATGTCCAAATCACATTTTTTTTTTTTTTTTGCTCTCTCTCTCCCTCTCTTTATACATTTATTTATGTCCAGCGACCATTTATTATATAATTAAATATCGAATAGTGCTGTACAACGTGGACTCTTTTCAAGTTATCAATAAATGATATCTAAGATTAAAAACAACTCAATTCTCTAAATTAAATAAACCATATTGCAGCCGACAAAGAATTTCTATTCCCTTTCAGTTACAACAGTCGCAATCTATCGATATTGATAAATCGATAAACAATTATTATCAAAGCTCTATTTCGAATAGAACTTAAGCTATTTCGGCTTAGATCTGAGAGACAATTCAGAGTGTTGACTTGCACATAGAGTTGTGCTTTATTCATTTATTGGTTCATCGATTTGTCTGCGCTTATTCGATTTGTGGTGCGGAAATCAACTGGCGGCCAGCTAATTGAGCCTCCAGTCGTAACTTTCTTAGACAATAATTGGAACTGGGCAAGCAATGCATTCATTAACTGCCCAGCGTTCAATGCAGTGTGCTCTAATCGTAGCAATTGGGGAGCAGGGACTGGGGCTGGGGCTGGGACTGTGGCTGGGGCTGTGGCATGGTCTTCTATCGGCAATAATTGGCAGTGCGAGTGTTTGGCCAATTAAAAGCAGTCGTCGGCTTTATCAAATTCAATTAGTTGACTCGAGAAATCGCTGACGGCAGGCTGGCCCCAAAAAAATAAATAGAAGATAAACTATGGCACTTAAAAAAGAAGACAGAAATTGGAATTGTAACCAGGCCGAAGCATGGATACCTTAGCTGACAGCAGCTCTAAATGTATATGTATCTGGAATTTGGAATTAATTTTGTAGCTCCATGTAATTTATGTATTTGTATCTGTAATTCTAAAAATATTTGTATTTAACTGTATCTGTATATGCCTCTGTATCTGTATCTGTATCTGTATCTGTATCTGTATCTGTATCTGTATCTGTATCTGTATCTGTATCTGTATCTGTATCTGTATCTGTATCTGTATATGCATCTGTATCTGTATTTGTATCTGTATCTGTATCTGTATCTGTATCTGTATCTGTATCTGTATCTGTATCTGTATCTGTATCTGTATCTGTATCTGTATCTGTATCTGTATCTGTACCTGTATCTGTATCTGTATCTGTATCTGTATCTGTATCTGTATCTGTATCTGTATATGCATCTGTATCTGTATTTGTATCTGTATCTGTATCTGTATCTGTATCTCTATCTGTATCTGTATCTGTATCTGTNGCATCTGCATCTGCATCTGCATCTGCATCTGCATCTGCATCTGCATCTGCATCTGCATCTGCATCTGCATCTGCATCTGCATCTGCATCTGCATCTGCATCTGCATCTGCATCTGCATTTGCATCTGCATCTGCATCTGCATCTGCATCTGCATCTGCATCTGCATCTGCATCTGCATCTGCATCTGCATCTGCATCTGCATCTGCATCTGCATCTGCATCTGCATCTGCATCTGCATCTGCATCTGCATCTGCATCTGCATCTGTATCTGTATCTGTATCTGTATCTGTATCTGTATCTGTATCTGTATCTGTATCTGTATCTGTATCTGTATCTGTATCTGTATCTGTATCTGTATCTGTATCTGTATATGCATCTGTATCTGTATCTGTATCTAATATCTAATATCTGTATCTAATATCTAATATCTGTATCTTCATCTGTATCTGTATCTGTATCTGTATCTGTACCTGTATCTTCTGCCTATATTTATATCTAGATATTCAAATATTATAATATACGTGTCATCTTAATCGGATCTTGTCTCAACCCGATATTTCTTTAGCTGTCATATGACTATGAACATAGGAATGTTCCGTCGATCCGCTAACTTTGGCTCGAGTTGCGCGATCTTCAGATCTTCGTCTTCAGTCGATGCTATTCTTCCGTGTTTTAATGTTTTCCTTGCGCTGCTAATGATGATAATCGCTGTGATCTTTGCAGTGAGATAGATTTGTATCTGCGATCTGTCTTTTGTTGGCTAGTTGTGCGTTAATTGCAGCACAGCTGCGGCACATCATAATATATCTGCCAGCCATTAATTAGCCAGATACAAATGTATCTATGTATCTCCTTTTACACGTGGATCGTTAGACAATTCGCTAATGATCGCCGCTAACGACCTGACTACGCTAATTGGCAATGCTCAGAACTAAAATGAAGCCCGCCCAGATACAAATGAATATGAATATGAATATATGTATATATATGTACAGGAATGTACATATATACATGAGGGTATATACATATATACATATGTATTTTATATAGATATTTATACACACTCCCGCCTTGATGAAGACATGCAACATGTAGCTCCTGCTGCTGCTGCTGCCTGATTTTTCATTCAAGTAAAACGCATCCACAAGATACAAAGTATCTGCGTTTGCTGCCACGTCGTGTCGTGAGTTTCAATTAAAGTTCCATTAACGCTTCGCGACACACACAATTATCAAAAATTAAATTTATGCTTATGACATTTCCGGCAGCAGCCAACCGCCCTCCCCGCACCACCACGCCCCGCCAATCCAGCCTCCCTCTCATTGCATCTCTTGACATGCAAAATCGAAATGCCACGCTCGTATCTCTCGGACTGGATAAATAAATATATAGAGTTATGCATGCAGCTCATTTTGTGTATTTAAAGACAGCCCGTCCGCAGATCAAAGCAACTTTATGATTATATGCTCCACGCATATCCATCACCATATGCAGCTGATATAATTTCCCCCAGCAGCCGTATCCGTGCGTCTCCCAGACACCCTCACCAAAAAAGTCCAAAGAACAAGGCGTGGTCTATGGAGTTCGCTCTGTTTCTTTTCCATACATCCACTAAAGAGACAGACAGACAGAAACTGACTGCTGTGACACCATGAAGTATAACGGTATCTATTGAAAATACCTATAACACCCTGTAGAGGTAAACAGAAACAGATTTCTATACAGATTACATATATGTAGTTAGATATGATCACGTATTTCCTGATATATAAACATATTCGATTATACAAAACTCGTAAATCCTCATTTAGGTGCTTAAAATCGATATATATCGATGTCAGCATAGTTTGGCTGCAAGTCTGTGAATACTTCTTCTTCTACGCATTCATGTGTTTGCCTTCAAATACCCTGTACGATTGGATGTTTATATAAAATATGCACGAGGCAAAAGTTGTTAGTTATGACGCTAGAAGAGCTATATCAATATGTGATATATGTATGTGTATAATATATACCAGTAAAAGCACTCAGTTGATCATATTATTTATACATAAATAATATTTTATATATTTTCTTCTATTTTATTTCATGTTTTATTACATAAATTCATCTTTCATTTTGCGATAGATCGACAGATTTGCATTGATCAGGCCCAACTAATCTAGGCATCTTGTCATCTACAGGGTATCTGCTAGTCAGTCATGCACGCGCGTTGAGCACTCTCACTTGCTGCTTTCAGCAAGCGAGCCGCCAACAATGCGACACAGCGGGAGAGCCCACAAGATGCCGCGTGCCCGATATGAATTTCTGTTGCAGGAATTCAGCCTTAGCGCAGCTTTGCACTGCATTCAGTTGCAGCAGCAAGCAAGCAACAGCAACAACAACAACAACAACAGAGACAACACAGGCAACACAGGCAAGACAAATTGTCTACGCGTTGAGGTCTTGGCTATTGGCCTCCAGCGTGACGTCGTCGGCGCTGCACAGAGGCTGGCGCCAGTAGCCGCGGGCAGCGCCACTCAGCGCCCATAATCACAACAAGCATGGCAATGGCACAAACCACACACATGCACACACGCACACACACGCACACCCTGGCAATGGGCAGAGGTTTATGGCATGCGCCACGTAACCGAAACCGAAACCAAAACCAAAACAGGCAACGGCAACGCATCGGTAATTAAAAGTGGCATAATGGAATTTGCTGCAGTCAAAAAAGTGCAAGAGAGCGAGAGCGAGAGAGAGAGAGAGAGAGAGAGGGGGGGGGAGGGGGAGAGCAAGGCAGATGGTGTGCGAGATAGAGCAATATACATATGTATATAAGCTATAGGCCGGGAAGCACAGCCAAAGAATTAAACAAATGCAGTTAGAGTTCCTATAATATCTATGTAATATGATGCATAATATACCATTTATCAAATATAAAGAATCCACAAATTGATAAATCTAAAAACAGTTACTTAAGATTAGTATAGCCCATCAATAAACAACAGTTATTAAACTAAAGCTTAGCTTAACATAAGCTTTAACATGAGCTGTACAAATATAACAAAAATATTTTATATAAGCAGACAATATTTCTATTAGCTTACAAGGAGTCGAGTAAACCACATTGCAAACTCAACAATAAAGACGAACTAAATTGTAAATTCACAATTTAATTTGCACCTTTTTAACATGAGCTTTACAAACTGAAATTCTAAAAAAAAAAAAATAATAATAAAGGCTGAGCTGATTACACAGCCATAAAAATTTGTAATTAACAAGCAGGTACTTAACATGAACTTAACAAGCAAATAATTTCAAGTGCCTTTAAAGCAGTCAAGCAGAAGGTTTACTCAGTTCAACTTGAGCAGAATACAAATTTGTAATAATAAACTCTCACTAAGCTAATTAAAGTCTAGATGCTGATTAGCTCGCTCAGCAGCAGATGCATCAGAATTTATGCTAAGGATAAAAGCAGACGATAAAAGTTGCTCCAGTTTGGCATGGCTGGAGCTAAGGGCGACATGCATTATGGATGCTTCAGCTATTTTAAGTAGAGGCTGGCTGAGGCCCTAGCCGATGGCTTCGATAAGGCTGAGGTTGAATGGCCACAAAAACAAAAAGCCATAAACTGGAGCAAGTGAAACAGAAACTTAGCTCTGGCCACTTCACAGGTCCAGGCCCAGGCCCAGGCCCAGGCCCAGGCACACAGCAGAGGAATGCTAACATTTTAAGCACTCACAAAACACATTTGCATTCAGGCACAACGAACGCGGGTAACCTCAGCTGCAAACGGTGCCTCTTTAGGTGTGTGAGTGCAGGTGAGAGTGTGTATGTGTGTGTGTGTGTGTGTGTGTGAGAGTGTGACTTAGTACGGAGTTTTGACTCAACTTAGGTTAATGCCAGGATATGCCCGTACCGAGTAGACAAGCAACTCTAGCGTGCGCCAGTGGTGCAGCGGTGCAGTGGTGCAGTGGTGCATGCCCATCATAACTACAGCTACCCACTGACTGACTGGCCTATAAAACGCTAGCCCCAAATGCATCCGTGAATTCGTAAATCGCTTGCGCTTTTAACACCTAAGCAAACAAACATCAATGAAGCGCTGCAGAGGCAAATGTGAATTTTTCTTTTATGAGCTTCGGAGTCGGAGGAGCCCGTAGCCGTAACCGGGAGTCAAAAACTCCGAGCAGGTGGCGGCATCATCTGCGTGAAATGTGTGTGCCAGAGCTTTTCACATTTCACATTTTTGTTTATGCATCGAATGGTCGAATGGAACAGCTGCGGGCCATAAAAACARTATCGAGAAATGTGAAATGTGAAATGTGAATAAGCAAAGGTAGGGGCCACACTACCTGGCACCCGGCCACGCCCACACAGCACAACAGCTTTGAAGTGGGCGCTAATCAAGTACTAGCCCCGGCTGGCTGCCAGAGTTCATGTTGCTCGAGACAAATGTCAACTGCATGTTAAAACCAAAAGCTGGCAACTCTATAAATGTAGCAACTACTCGCTAAATACATATGCACATTTGACAGGCAGCTGCACTTGGCGCAATAATTAATTCAATTGAAGCGCGACGAAAAGTTCAAGCCACAAGTTAAAACAGTTTTACTGCTCTTGATGTTGTTTGAGACTGAATGTCAACTGCATGTTAATTAACAGACAGTTAAATTAACAGCTGCATGTATATTAGCACTTGCTTAACTGCAAGTTAAAGTGCTTGTTAAATTTAAGATGAGCTTACCTTGCAGAGCGCCACGCCCGTATCCAGGCGATCCATAAAGTTCTCCGCCTTAATTTCCAGCTCCGGATAGAGGGTGCTCAGCCATTCGGCCAGATCCTCCTTCATCGCCTCCAGGTACTCTTCACTGGACTTGAATGGCCTGTACGGCCGCGCCTCGAGCATTGCCATGGCGCCCAAGGTTTAATCGATCGTTTTGTTGAATCTCTCGATTCTCAACTCGTTCTATTCGTATTTGTGTTCGTTTCTCTGCTACGCGTTACTCAACACTGTTTCAGCTTGCAGGGGGAAAATGGGTTTCAATTTGTAACTAATTGTCGTGCATGGACTTAACACGCTCTTCACTTAGCGTTGGCCCAACACCGGCGAGTCGTGCATTGTCTCGTTCGTTTGGATAAGAGAGTATCGTTACTAGATATCTCACTCCCACTCCCTTTCTCTCTCTCGTTGTTCCCCTCTCTCTGTTTGTCTCTCAGCTAAAACTTTCACTCGTTATTTCTCAAGTTTTTGAAGTTCTGCAAAGAGAGTCGAAAGAAAAGATATCATTAATTAAAAGTCCACATATTTTAATCTTACAGTAAGTTAAAGCATATCGGGTGTTTCATTCACGCATTCCTCTTGCAAAATATTCGGGAGTGTAGTATAAAGTGTAAATGAAGTACAGTGAAAATTTATAAAAAAAAAAATCAAAATAAAATATGACGCTGAAAATATAGTTAAATGTTTCATTCCAGCGTTCCACGTAAGAGCAAAAAGAGAAGTGAGATGGAAATAGATGGAAATAATTTTAAATTTAGTGAGCAACTGTTCCATTCTCGCCAAACCTCTAGCCATACATTTCCCACTAAAGCCAATACAAATGTTTCATTCCAGCATTCTATTCTCTATTGAACCATTCAAATATGCATGAAAAGTCTGGCACAAGTCATCACCACGATGAATCTCAAGGAAAATGGTTACTATGAGTGTTTCATTCCAGCATTCCATTTACCAGTATGCATATGAAACAGATATTCAAATTAATGAATGCAGATAAACGAATTGCAATTGAAACAATATGTAAGAGCCGTAACAGTCGAACAGCAAGAACGTGAATAAATGAATAAATGAGCGAGCTCTAAAAGGCATTTCGCGTGAACATTCTTGTCGAAAGTGAAAAGCGGAACATGCCTGCATAACAACTGAATATAACTAATGAACTCCACGTTCAGGAATCTGATTAAGATATAAAAAAAAAAAAATAAATAAATAAAGAAATAAATTAAAAAAAAAAAAAAACCCTCGCACACTCAAGCGAGATCAAGTGGTATCATAAATTTCAATATGTGCATTTCCCATTAAATCTGCATTCCAAATGCATATTTGCTTTTAATGGATTGTCACAATTCGCCAGCTAGCTGCCACATGCAGCAGCAGCAGCAGCAAAGGCAACAGCAACAGCAGCAGCAGCAATATATTGCCGCCCCCTGCCTACCTGTCCCGCTCKGGCTGTGCCAAATGAATGAATGTGGATTGAACGAGCGGCGTAAATTTACGACTATGGAACTGCAGCTGACATAATTGTGGGATACAAAACCACAATAGCAACAGCAGCAACAATAAAAGCACCAGCAACAGCAGCAGCAACAACAACACAAGCAACGGAGTAAACAGCAGCAGCTACATCAATATGAGCAGCAGCAACATCAATAGCAAAAGCACGCAGCAGTAGAAGAAGCAGCAACAACAAAAATAACCGTAGCAGCAGTAAGAGCAAAGGCACGCAGCATCAGCAGCAGAAGCAGCAAGAGCAACAGCAACGGAAACAGCGGCAGCAACAACAACAAAATCAGCAGCAATATCTACAGCAGCGAGAGCATCAGCAACGACAGCAATATCACGCAGCCTTCTCAGCAGCGCTGCAGCAGCAATATCATGAAGAACAGCAGCAAGCAGCCACGGCACTATCAAAATCAAAAGCTACAGCAACTAGAGAAGCAGAAGCAAGACCAATAACAGCAGCAGCAACAGTAACAGGAGGAACAACAACAGCAGCAACAAGAACAGCAATAACAGGAGCAACTGCAGCAACAACAAGAGGAGCAGCAGCAACAGCAATAGCAGCTGCAACAGCAGACGCAGCAACAGGAGGAACAACAACAGCAGCAACTGGAACAGCAGCAGCATCAGAAGCAACAGCAATAGCAGCAACAGTAACAGGAGCAACTGCAGCAGCAGCAACAGCAGCAGGAGCAGCAGCAATAGCGGCTGCAACAACAACAGCAGCAGCAGCATCAGCAGCAACAGCAATAGCAGCGACAGTAACAGGAGTAACTGCAGCAGGAACAGCAGCAGCAACAGCAGGAACAACAACAGCAGCAGAAGCAGCAGCAATAGCGGCTGCAACAACAACAGCAGCAGTAGCAACTGCAACTACAACAATAGTAGCAACAGCAGCAGCAGGAGGAACTGCAACAGCAACAAAAGCAGCAGCTACAGTACTACGAGCAGCAGCAATATGAGCATCAACAACAGCAATGGTAGCAGCATTAGCTACCACATCGGAAGCAACAGCAACAGTAAAGCAACAGCAATAGCTACAGCATTGCGCAGCAATGGTTGCCGCAACAATGGGAACAACAAGAGCAGAATGAATAGCAATATCAATAGCAATATCTTGAACAGCAGAAACACTTGAAACTACAACATCAACTGCAGCAGCAGCAGCAACAACAATGAATAGCAACAGCAGCAGCAATGGAGCAACAGCAACCTCATATAAATANCGCTAATTCTTCTTGGCGCGCTTCTTGGCATTAATTGTATGTGATGGATAAAAAATATAAGCAGAAATTTCGTGATTCCTGGAAAACAATCACCGAATTTAAGAATTGGATTAAGGAGGATGAGTCAGACAACAGGCGGGCGTATTGTATATACTGCAAATGCAGTGTTTTTGCCAAACTGCACGATATTAAAATGCATGCCGCGACAAAAAAACATAAAACTGCGGTTGGCGCCTTTGGGCAAAAAATTTAAACATTTTCCATGATTCCATTTAAACATGATTCCAGTTAATCAAAAATATAATTCTGATGATGATTTGGATGTGGACCAAATTGTAACATTATTAAATAACATTTAAAAATAAAATTTTAAGTAAATGCATAATGCATAAAGGTTTCAGCTATTTTGTAAGCTATTTTAAAATTTGTTTAGCTATTTTCAGCTATTTTTTAGAGACGATTTTGCTATTTTTATGTCTCAAAACCTGGCAACACTGATGGCATGGTATGGCTGGCATCAGCCAACTACATAACATGAGTCGCATCTCGCATGCCCCTTGACACCGCCCCCTAGCTCAAGCCACTAGCCCTGCCCCACCTGCCCCACCTGCCCGGCCGGCCAGCGGGCAGAGCTAATTAGCGGTAAAGCTCAATTGAACTGTGAACTTCAGACTGCGAGCGCGAGCTGCAAGAGGTTTGTGGCAGGCGAAGATTAATGTGGCAGGCGCAGCAACGTCAGTCGCTTGCTTGGCCGCCGCTAAATGTCTCGTTCGCTTAAAAGCAAATCCCGAATTAACCAAGGCTAATCCAGCCATAAAACTTATCGCTTATCTATTTATCAAATTGCAGTTGTTGTTGTTGTTGCTGCTGTCGGTGTTGCTGCTGTCGCTGTTGTTGCATAAGCTGTTGCAATTTGCACGAAGCATGCGAATTCAATCATTATGCCGACCTTGCCGCAGCCGTAGAACCGATTGAAGTTCGTGACATCGTTTTGACTACAGTGAACCCTCCGTAAGCTTGACTGTCAGTTTGCGATTTTCTCAATCTTGCTCAATTAATCAAATCATTTAAATATTTATTTGATCGCTCCACAAGTTTTTCTAGCTAACTTAACATATTTCATAATTTCATTTAGCTTATCTCAACTCATGTACTTTGAAGTTATGTTTTATAGTAACCTCTATATGCAACATAGGTTGTTGTGGTTGTATATTGTAGCTTATAGCTTATAGCTTATACCAAATCTCTCTCAAATAAATCCGCTACACCAAAGAAAAGTTATAGGCTTTATTATATTTTATACGATATCTCTCATTTGGTATATAAAAAGTCATATAAACTTGGGGAAATATGGAATACTATCTACCTTACTTTTTGCATATTATACAAAATCGGTTTTACTTTATACCATACATAATGGTATCATACCTATAGCATAACTGTTGTACATTATATACATATATAATGGATCATATATATAAGAGATTGTATCAATGTTTTAGCTCCTGCTCAAACCAAATAATACCTCAGCTACCTATAAGCCAATCTTCTTATACCACATATCTTACTCCATATACCAAATATTATATTTTATGATAGCAACACTCTTGCACTTCTGTACTTTATGCCCGATCTCTAATACTTTATAACAATTCTTATATCTTTAAACCCATTTTTGTTATACTTTTAACTGAATATGCTGCATTAGTATATTGAATTTCTTATACTTATTTCTTGAAAATTGTAAGAAATATCGTATACCTTATAGCTTACTTTTTGTGCCTCATACCAAAACTTAAACTTAAACTCATACCAAGACTTAATATATGTACAAGTCTCTCATCTTGCATCGTATACTTTACACTTTATATCATAATCCATATTGAATAACTGTCAATATGGGTTATTTTATACCTTATACGTGGAGGCCTCCCTATTTAATTATTTTACAACGGATCTCGTATGCAAAGCTTCAGCTTTCTTTTAAACAATAACGAACGCAACTTTCTCGCAGGAAAAAGAAACTCAATTCGAGTCAAATAATAATAAAATTGAAAACCTTAAGAACCTCGCTGCCAGGCAATTCCAATTACGTAATATTCAGCCCATATTTGTTGATAAATTCGTAATGCTATCTATAAATCTGTGATTCCATGTGTCTAACTTACAGTTTACAATTCTATACAACGAATATACTCCTCTTTCACTTGCTAAACGAGTATACAAAAGAAAAAAAACTTTGTTCAACAAAAGAAAAACAATCGCATATGCAATCGCACTTCGGTTTCGGTTTTTGACTCTAACTTTTCGTACTCTTTTCTGGTTTTATTTGTTTTCTTGTATTTTTTCGCTATTGCCATTTATATAACGTCACAACGTGGTCTTAATTAGGCTCCAGCTTTAGCCCGTTTACTTAGCTCACGGCTCGCATTAAAAACAAGCAAAACTTAATACGACGAACAATAAACGAAAGCTAAATAAGTGCTATATATACATATGTATAAGTATATATGTATGTATATGCATATATGGTGAAGACATCGAAGTCCAGATACACTAGCCCAGCATAGCGACTCATAGGGATGCTGCGCGTGCTATATATAGTAGATCTGTTCAAACAGTATCAGGACTTTCTATTCATAAATTTCAATTCTATCTCTTTCAAAGTAATCCTCAT